ATCAAATGTTTAAGATAGTTTCAGTGTTAAGGAGGCCAGACATTTCAAAATAACCTAACTAAAACATAACAAATGAATATAAAACACTGAATCACAGAGCAGTGTAATATACTTAAAATGGTACTTAGAGGGTATTTGAAGCCCTAAATGCTTATTCTGTAATAGAAAAGGTTAAAATTGATAAGAATAGAGAAACAGAATTTTTAACTTTGGAAAAAAATAGTGAAATTCAAAGTAAAGAAATATCAGTATAAGACTGGGGCAATGAGGAAAATAAAATGAATAAAATGAACAAGGTAAAAATATTTTAGAAGTGATTAATAAAATTGATAAGTTTCTGGTATCATACTTTAAAAAATTAAAAATGATGCAAATAAACTATTTGAAAGAAAAAACATCAATTTAAGCATTGTAGACATTATGAGATATTTAATCCCCCACGGCCCACGCCTCCCCTCACGGCCAAATGCCGTTTCCTTGGAACCTGGATGGGAAGAAAACGTCTGTCCCAACACGAACGTGACCCAAAGCAGACGCGAGGGTGAGGTGGGAATGGAGGCCCAGGGAGCTCATCATGGGCCTGGTGAGAGCCCGCTGTTAGCTCAGCCGCAGAGGGCGAAGGGGAGCGGGCAGAGGGCGAAGGGGAGCGGGCAGATCCGAGCCTGCCCTGAGCTTCCTGCCGGCGGAGGAAACCCAAACCTGAACACACCGTGTAGAGCAAGAACGCTGCGGCCTATCCGGGCCATTGCACACCCTCAGAGCTGCCCGAGGGCAGGATGTCGGCTCCTTTGAAGTGAGCGGTTTATTTATGCTTTTAATCATCTCACGTCCCAGTGGGGGGAGCTCACAGGTGCATTCACTGTTACCCTTCCGTGAACAAGGGAACAAGGCAACCGGGCCCCTTGTGAGCCGGTGCTCCGTGCGGAGCGCGCGACGAGCAGGATGCTCGGTGCAGCCCGGGAAGAGCGCGCACGGCCACCGAGCACGTGGCCGCAGAGCCGCCCACAGGGCACACCTCCCAGCACGGCCTCCGGCCTCCGCTCACTCACCTCCTGCAAACACTTCCCTCAGCTTCTCCCGTCAGAGATGAAGCTACTGAGTAAATGTGACCAAAGGTCTGAGTCCAATAGAACAGGAACAGGAGACTCCGTCCCAGCCAAGAGGCGGTGCTGAGGGAGGACTCAGATGCCTGGGGCCAGTGGAGGGCGCAGAGGACCCACAGGACGCCCAGCACGGCCCCTCCGCGCACGCACATGGGGCCGGCAGCGGGGACCAGCACACCCCTCCCTCCTCTTTGGGCCCAGGAGGCAGAGCGGGGACCTGCACCCCTGCCCCCTAGATGCTGAGCTGCAGGAGCAGGGGGCTGGGAGGGGGCACCGTGCCAGCTTCAGGAGCGCCCGCCAGGGGGCCTGCACCCACCATTGGCAGGACAGCGCCCGGGGCCTCCTCTCCACTCTCCTCGCTGCTCTGAGAAGACACCATTTCCAGGTCCCCAAACGTGTGGTCGCTGCAGGCGCTTGTTGACTGAAGCGGCAGCGGCGCCTGTGGGGCGGGGAAGGAAGAAGCAGGTCACTGCCTCACACCGGACACGGCGCCCCTGGAGGTGTGAGCCCAACAAACTCAAACCTGCCCAGGACTGACCCTCAGGAAGCAGACTAACCGCACCCAGAGGCTATGACCCTCAGGGGAAGGGGGGCCCCTGTGCTGCCCGGGAGACCCCCCACCCCACCGTGCAGAGCTGAGCAGCGCCAGCGCTAGACACCACCCGCACTGAGCTGAGCCGTCTCCTGTCCTCCCTCTGTTGGGGGGGAGGTGTGGGGGGGGAAGGATGGAGACCAGGCCCACCCGCAGGGCGACAGCTTCTCTCAGAGGTTACCCGGCCCCTACATGGCCCCTCCCTCCACCTGAGGACACGACCGAGGACTGTCCGCGATGGCCAGGCGGCCACAGAGCCCACAGCCCGACGCACCCCGTGGGGTGGGGACCAGAGGGCAGTGCGGTGGGCACA